ACTACATTAGAGTAGACTTTCTACTACAAAACAAAATAAACAAAATTTTAGTACAATAGAAGTAAATTAATAATAATACTATAATATATATATATATATAGACACACACATACAAGCACAAAATCTGTGTGTTTATCTGTCCATTATCAAACTATTCCTAGGTTACTGGGCCAATTTCAACCAAACTTTATGGAATGATAGTTTGGAACAAGGGGCGTATTAATGACAGGTTCACAACACCCCTCCATACCCCCATTATTGCTGTTATTGAGCATTTATTATCTCTGATGTAAGTTAACATTAACTACATTCATAGCTGGCATCATGTCCTCACCCCAAAAAAGAACTTTATTATATTTTCTATAAAACAACAAACACACAGTGTGGCAGGAAGGAATATAAACATCTCATGTATCTCAGAGTGTGTACTAGCACTCTCTACAGAGAAATGCAATGAACAAAAGATGGCTGCTACTATTGCAATACCACATAAACACAGTTGAAGTTTCTACTCCAACAGCCTACTTTGACTCATGACCTTTCAAATTTGGCCCACAAGACATTTCTGTGGCCAATTAGCATCAATTAATTAATCACATAAAACACTGTGGAAGGACAAAGAGTTTGATGTTAAAAGCAGGTAACAGAAAGCATCCTTGACCACCATACAGTGTATACCATGTTTTAAGTATATACATACGGAATTCTTAAAGCTTCTAGAAAACTTGTGGTGAGGTAATAATGAATACTGTAATAATATGTTATATTATAAGTACATTGTGTGAAAGTTAGGACTTTTGTGTTACTTATCATAGCATTAACCCCCCCCCCACACACACACTTTTTTTAAGTTCATAATCTGAACAAAGAACAGGTACCTCAGCTTGTGATTAATAATCCATCACAGTTACATGTGTAACAATGTACATCAGCACATATATAAATCAGTGCAGATACATAACCTGTTACAGGAACTCCAGTATCAAAAAAGTTATCTTCGTCATCAGTGCTCTCATCAACTAATCTGACAGACTTAGTTTTGTCTCCCTTTTGTTCACCTGTGGGAAGAATGAGAAAAGAAAGAAAAACAAATATAAATGTGCCATTTAAATAACCAGGGCACATTACATGATGACTAACCTTATGATTTGTGCCCCAGTGTTGGGTGTTTGTATTGTGGCTGCAATATTTTTTTTTCTTCTCTCTCATTAAATTACATTTAATTTGACAGTATATCTACATTTTGTTACTGACTTATTTATAAAAAATTCACACTGATTTTGGAATTTTGTACACAAAGAAATAAGCAGGTTTTTATAAAATGGAAATCATTTGTTATTTTCAAATGTCATCACATTCAATTATTTTACCAACAGTGTCAGGAACTTTTCGCACCATAAAAGCAATCATCCTTCCTATTTTTAATCAAACCTACACATATCCACTATGTTAATTATAAGAACTGTATTAAAGTAAAGGAGACAATTTTGAAACCATCTAAATTAATAATATTCTTAACGTGCAAGTGGACTGTACCTTTGCATGGTTTTCTCTAAACATATCCTTCCATGTGACTGATACATCATAGTACTTTTAGGTTCAAATCTGCAATACTGCAGACAAACTTCAACAGGATAATCAAAAACACTTGGTGACATGAATATTTCTTGTGCTTTCTTATGCTACCTACAAATGTACATAAGATTTTCTTATGTATACTATAACACCTTAAGCTGCCAATCAACTTTATTATGCCTGCCTAAATATCAGAACTTATGGCTATCACTGATAGATGGCATAGATAATTTACATTTCTTGGTTTAAACACAAATACACACACACATACATCTTTTCAGACCTGCTTTTTTTTTTACATAGTTCTGGAAATTTTAAAAAAACTGATAAATCACTCACCTATAGTTTCTAAAATCAAACAAAGTAGGTAAAGACAACAGACGTGTACTAACTTCCCACGTTTCTTTCCAATATATATATATATATATATATATATATATACACACACACACACACACATATATGTAACTACTATAGCCCTATTATATTTCCAACCTTTTCATGCTACATACCTCTAGTGAGACCTGTAAGCTAGCCAACTGCATATCCTTGACAAATATAATGTTAAACAAATTAACAGAGATTTATATTATTAACAAAAAGATAAATCAAAACAACTAATTCAAAGATAAGTCAACAATATACAAATGTTGAGTGCTGGTTAGTGGGATACATTCGTAACTCTCAGAAGTGCCCTCCAATTTTGAGGCATGCATTGTTTTATGTTTTTTCACAGGTTCTGGGAGTGAGCATACCACAGGTTGGGAAACACTGATATAAAGTATACTAATTTCATATTTAAAAATCACAAGTCACCAATTGCAAAGGAATGCTGATAACAGTTACAGCATGGTAATTTCATGCAAACTGCTGATAACTTACATGAGGCCTACTTTAAAGAGAAAAAGTTTCCTAACAAAGTAATGTGGACCTGAAAAACATTAGAAAAGTAAAAAATAAAAAATACAAAAATAAGTTTATATTTATAAAGATTTCAATAAATCTGTGTCTATACTACTGATGAGTGCTAACCAGTTTTTCAGCTAGTATTTTATGATGCCAATCTAAAGACAAATCTGCAAATGATTATAGGCAGCTTATTCAAATTGTCCGCTGGACAACCAAATCTCGAACATTTTGTTGCCATTACTACATTTTTATATAGCATGAACATAATATTATTTATTGCAGTTTTACCAAAAATGTTATATCTGAGAGTAACAGTTAAACATTTCAATAATAGGAAAAAAAATATGATATAAAATAATACTCACTGCTGTTTAAAACTGGTTTCTTTACTTCTTTATCAACTGATTTTTCTTGATTTCCATACTTTTCTGTTTCAAAAACCTTTGTTGATTCATCTGCCGATTTTAAATAAGAGTTATTTAAGATGATCAGTTCATTTTTGGAATCAACTCCCTGATCTGAAGTCTCTATTTTCTTTAGCTTTTCTTTTTCCTGGGAATTAATATTGTCACTTTCCCTAAAAGCAGGTAAGTTATTAACTGATTCAGAAACATCACCCAGCAAGATACCTTCAGATATGCTATCAAGAGTATCTTTTGTAATATCACCTTCTAAAAGTTGTTCAGTTGCACTTCGTACAACATCTGGAGAAATCTTTAGTGAAAATTCATTCAGTGTTCTTCCTTCATTAGCAGATATATCATTTAATAACTCATTCTGTGCATTATCATTCTTCTTCATCAATGCATTTTTAGTAAATTCATCTTGATAGCCTACTGCTGCTAGCTGAATCTGTTGTTCTTCAACTTTCTCATCTTTTAGAATGTTTGAATTAGTTGTTTCCATGAGAGGAAAAACTCCAACATCCTTTTTGACACTATTCTCTGCTGGAAGGAGTGGAATCTGTAATCCACATTCTTTTATTTCCAAAGAACTAACTATATCCAACTGCTGGCATGAAATCGTTTTATCTGAAGACTTTGACCATATACCATTTCTAGCAGATGGAGTTACACCTTTTTCCTGCTGATTACAAGAAGTTAGTTGGTGAGACTGCTGCATCTGAATCTCTTCTTGACATGCCTCTTGAGTGCTCTCAACAAGCTTCAATGTTTTGTTGGAGCTGTCTGTTACATTTTCATGGCTATTTTCATGTATCTTATTATTCATCTCTTCATGTAACTTTCTTAAATTAGTTTCTAAGAACAAATCAGAAGACAATGTTGAGATCTTCACTAAGCTGTCATTCTCATAATGTTTAAAAGGTGCAGTTTCATTTTGTTCATCACCTGAAGTCTCATTGGTTGGTATTTTAAAATTAGTTCCTAATGAGATTTCTTGAGATTCTTTGTACTTTAAAACACTTGGCTGATTCTGGTGAATATCAACAAACAATGCACTGGAAGTGGTTGATCTAGGCACAACAGTTAAGTTGTTTATATTCTTAGAGTAGGTAACAAAAACACCTTCCCTCAAAGGATCTTTAGTATCACCATTTAACTGATACTTTGTTGGGTGAGATTCCATCAAAGATCTTTCATGATTACTAGTATTTAAATGCACAATGCTAGCATCATTAATAACACTGTCAGGCAAATTGCTAGATAAATCATATCTTGGATCAATATATTTTACACAAGGAGTCTGACAAGTACAATCATATGATAGTTTATTTGTGTTAGTCAGAACTGGTGTTTGATACTGCTTAATTCTAGCATTAAAGCATATAGGTCTCTGTGCATATTCAAAAGAGGTAGAAGACTTCAGAGCAGAAGATTCCCTGAAGCATCGAGCACACACCCAACATTCATCTGTCTGAGTACTGGCATCCCTGAAAGTCTTCACCAGACTAGTACCTTTTTCATAGAGAAACAATGTCTGTTGAGTAGATAATTTACCACTTCCAGCACTTGAAAAAGTGTACAGATTAGAAGGGTTAGGACCTACAATATTTGTTGACTCTTTTTCCAGAGAAAAGTCCATGTCCAGATTAACTGTTGAATGATTCTGTGATGCAGAAAAGTCAAATGCTTTTACACCTGAAACTGGAATCTCTCTCGTATTCTGAGCACCTTGCACCTGAATAAATAACAAAAGTGTTGTAATCAAAGTATCACTATTTCATCATATGATTGAAATATTACAGTGTCTGTGTGTGTGTACAAACATAATGACGTCCTGTCATTAATTATTTTAGTCCACCATCATGATAATAATTACATACAAAATAAATTTTGTTTTTGTAATATATTAAAATTTTCAGGCTGAACTTACTAAATCATTTTCTTTAGTTTTCACATAACTAAATTCAAAATGTTGATTAATATGAAAGACATTCTAGTGACCTCTAACTTCATTAGATGTACTAATAAGGATAATAGTAGAGCAAACTTTAAACATAAACTTTATTTTTCTATGTACATGTAACAGAGCACCTTTAAAGCTACATTTATTCATATTAATCTTAAGTTTCTGATGTTAAATGTTTTACTTTCTTAAAGAATTAGCAAAATTAAAGATAGTTTTCATATGAATGTGAAACATTTCACTATTTTAAGTTTGCAACCTATTTTCTGTCTTAAATGATGCAATGAGAAACAGATGCATTTAGAAAGCAATAAAAATAAAGGCTAAAACCAGTCAAAGTAATAATTGTAAGGGGATATATTGTGTATGAATATACTACATTCTGATTACAAAGGTCACTTTTAGAAAGTTAAAATAAAAGAGGGATCTTCAGTGTTACAGCCATATCTGTTAATAGAAAACAAAAATAGTATATATTTACCATACAAAATTAAATGTTTACATAATTCAAAATATTTCAAGGGAATAAAGCTGTAAAATTCCTGTACCCTCCTAAAAAAATGGGTCTTCAACTGATCATAAGCCAGTATTATCATAAATTGTATATACCACCTATTGCATCTTTTACTACATTATTAGCCTCCTATAACCCTATATATGAAACATTAGTATTAAGGTGTTAACATTTTCTAGGAGTTTACACTTACCGAAGTATAGTTAGAATTATAATACTGAAGAAAACTTTTATATTCTTGCTGAAAATATAAAAACAAAGAAGTCTGTCAGTAAGAATCCTGGTGTTATTTAGAATTTATGTTTACTTACAAGTTCTAGTAACATTTTCTTTTGTAATTCTATATTTTTTGCATTCATACACATGCAGATACATACCCAAATGTAATTTAAGAGGTTGAGAGACCTAATAATGATCAATTATTGAAAGATTAAATAACAAGAAGGAAATATAAATTTCTATATAACATCAAATTCAGGCACAAATTGAGGTACGCATATAATCCTTCATACTGCCTCATCTTTATTTTTCTTAGGAGAAGATTTATGAAATTCTTCCAAGCTAAATTTTCTAAATAAAAGTTTCACTTTTCTATTTCATAAGTAGTTCTTCCTTTACATTTTTCAAATCAGCATACAGTCAAGGAAAACAATAAAGCTACACCACTTTTTTAGGAAGTGAGGAAAGTAACAACTTTCCTTGTACCATGCACGTTTGCAACGTAGCAAATACTGTTTAATTTTCATCGAGTGAATGGATGATTTAACATAAACAAACAAACAAAAAAAGTGGTATTTACATATATTATTGTTATGACAGTGGGGGTCACGTGACAAATATTCTAGAAGATTCGCTAGTGTAATGCGACAGCGGGAGTCAATTGATGCTGGTAGCACGTGTTGAGTCTTAGAAGTTTCTAGAACAGGCAGTATTATCATATATAAGTGCGCTAGACAGTGAGAGAGACAGACGGAGTTGAAGCAGTAGTGGAGACACAGACGAAGCAGGCAGAGAGAATGAAAGACAGCGAGGATAGCAGACACAGAGATCGAAACTATAGTTGGCGGGGACGGACAATTAAGACTAAGCGCGATAGAAAGTGAGTGAATTGTTGTGAACTATAGTGTGTGTGTAACTGTGAAAATTAAGTACATTACAAAGTTATAAAGAAAGGATTTGTATTGTAGAAGAATTAACAAACATACATACAGAGACGTAACATTATTATTTTACACATTATTAACTCAGATATGAAAAGAATATTCTTGGATTGTATGGTATATTTACTAGGTACACATAATTTAATAATACATTACTCATTAAAATCAGGAAAACAATATTGAAACTGTAGTATAAAAGTAAAAACCATATTTTGAAGTTTAATTTGACATTTTTAGTTAGCATATTCATGATTAGAACTGGGTAACTTGTAGAATTTGCTAACCAATTAATTTTAAGCCACATTAATCATATACATTCAATTATTCTCACATGAAACAAATCTTCCTATTTTCAGCTTGTTTAGGTTCAGAACATTTTTGAACTATACCTTCATTTAATATGACAGACACCTTCAGGTCCAATAATTTAGTGTTACGACAGTGGAAGTCATGTGATGCTGCTGACGCATGCGTGATTGAGCTTCTCGATTTATCGGGGAACTTCGCGTGTTTTTGAGACGCCTCTTTGTTAGTATATAAGCCTGGCAGAAAAAAGCCAGATGTTGGAAAAGTAGTTACTTGAGTTGTGGGTAATTTACAATTCTGTTTTGAGATAGTGTGTATTATAAAAGTAGTTAAGTGATGAGAAACGTACTGATTGTGAAATTACTGTGTACTAAAAGTTTGTACGGAGAAAGAATAAACTGGTTTAATCAAGGAAGGACTTGTAACGCTGAAGTTCCTCGGAAAGAATTTCTACCAGAAATGAACAAAAAGCAGATACGTGACAGTTCTTTAAAACTGGTGAATAGACCTAACTTCTATAATTTATATGTTATGAAATTTCCAAAGTTTTTAATCAATATGTTTTTAATGCATATATGTAACAAATTGGTGTCAGAGAGTGGGACGAAAAGAAAAAAAGAAGATGGAAACGAGACGTGACAAATCAAACTACAGCTTAGCAGATTTGATGGCAACAGTACAAGAAAAGCAAAAGAAATAAGAAGAATGAGATAAGAAACAAGAAGAGAGACTACAGCAGTGGTTGGAGGAGAAAGAAAATAAACAGATGAGAGACTACAGCAGTGGCAAGAAAACCAGCACCAGTGATCACTGGAACAAGAAAAGAAAGAGGAAGAAAGTCTCCATCAGTTGAGAGAAAGCCAGCATACACAAATGGAAAAGATTAGTGAATTTCAAAGTGAATTAAATAAATTAAAGGTTGATTTACTGTCTTTTACACAGGGAGGATATATTAACCATGGACCTAATCAGCCCCAGACAACAGAAAGCCCCTTACAGACCCTGCAGCTAAACGCAGAAGTCACCTTCCAGACATGAGTGTTAGCAATAGGGGTGATCTGGTTCGAAGGAAGCCACAGGAATTCGATGGGAAGGCACCCTGGTAAGCATATAGAGCACAATTTTAGCTCCTGGCAGAAATGAATGGATGGACTAAGGAGCAGAAAGCAGTGTACCTGGCAATGAGCCTGAAGGGACAACCACTGGAAATACTTGGACAGTTGTCAGCAGACGACATGCACAACTATAGAGCACTGGTAGCGGCTCTAGAACTCAGGTACGGAACCTAAAATCAGTCGGCAGTCTACAGGGCAAGTTTTAGGAC